AATAAAGCACATAAAGCTCATTATGAAATTCAGAACCCTATAAAAATGTAATAACACCAATAGTAGCCACTAATAGTGTCATGATCAAAGTTTTTTGTTGAAACAATTAAGCAGTTTGTATGCTGAGAGAGAGAGAGAGAGAGAGAGAGAGAGAGAGAGAGAGAGAGAGAGAGAGAGAGAGACAGACAGAGAGACAGAGAGACAGAGAGACAGAGAAAGGGAGAAGAAGTAGAATTAGTTTGCATGGGTGGGCTTAGGTAGGCTTCATTGAAGAGTTGGCATTGAAGAGAAGTCTTGAAAAAATGAATAGAATTTCAATAAATAAAGAAAAAGGGACTTGGGGGAAAGGAAAGAAGGAATGAACTTCCTATCTAGCATGCTGACTTTGTGATCTTTATAGATAGGTTGCAAAATTAGTCTGGATTCACTGTAAAGATTGAAGCTGGGATTGGCTGTTTACTACTAAACCAATGATTTTAAGAACTTAAACTACATGGATAGATTGGCATGCAAAGGAATAGGCAGGGGTGGGTAATATGAGATTTACACAGACAAAAGCAGGGGAGGTTTGGAAGATGGAGAAATAATAGAGATCTAGACAGTAGCTTTGCAGAAGACTGAGTTATTTAAACAGGTGTCAAAATGAAGGCTGGGCCCCATGGGGAAAACAGAGTAAGTCACTCAAACTTAACCTGAGATGCAATACAGTGTAATGTGTAGTCTCTGAAGGCAAGACACACCTGGATTTAAATCCTCCCACTTAGCTTTACTAGGTACAGAAATCTTAAAGAATCTTCCCCCCTGCAATCATAAGATTCCATACCTATCAAATAAAAGAAGAATGTTACAAATTTAAAATAGACTAATATACACAAAGCATGTAGGAGCTTGTCTGGTTAATGCCACACTCATGGGTATATCTTGGAAAACAGAAACTGGTCAATGCAAATTTAATACCAGAGAAAATAATAGAACAATCATCAAATTACTTCCCATCACTCAGAGGAGCACAAGATATTGTGTAACAACTCAAGTTGGATTTCTGAGCAAACAAATAATGTCAATGTCAGATCAATTTAATTTTCCTTCTTTGAAGAATATTAGACTGCATACATAAGAGAAAAAGAAAAGATTGGATACAGCTGAACTCACTGTGCTTTTTGTCCATCTTCATGACATTTCTAAGACTAAGCTGCAAGAAATTGTTTAGACCAGCGTGTTCCCAAAAGAGTGTTTTGTAGAAAGTTATTAAATGTTCCATGAAATAAGTAACTTTTGGAAATGCTCAGTAAAATAGGTTACCTTACTTTTCAAAATTTTTTTAATGAGGCAATGTGACAAAGAGTATAGTGCACAGAATTTTCTAAACCCATTTTTACCATAGATTATTTTTTAAGAGGTTGAAGAACACCATTTGAGAAGCAGAGATGTAGATATTATATTATCTTTGCCTAAGTTAGGGCATCCACATGGAGATTATTTAGCTGTATGTCACATAATGTCATAGGTTATTCCACAAGCATAAAAGATGAAAACATATTAATACTTTTATTCATGAACTGGACAGAGGGAGTAAGAAAATCATGATTAAACATGAAGTTTGACGGAGTTGCTGCCTTCTGGGAAGGCAAAAGCAAAATTCAAAAGATCTTCAAGACAGAATTTGACCACAAATAGAGTGAAACCAATAGGAATGCAAGGTGATTTTCCTATAGAATATAAGCTTTGAGGAAAAAGAATAATTGGATATAAATTATATGTCTTTAAAAGACCAAGAAAACACATTGAGTTTTGAATAACATCCCCATGAATAAAACCATCACTTTGAAAGTTATACTTAAGAATAACTGGACCTAATTGGTAGTACAAGGAAATGTGGTGTGTTATGTAGATTGGGTGGTAAGTATTTTTCTGCCTTATGAAGCCTATGTAGGAAATCCAAAGCCTAGTAATTCCCAGGTCTCAGCCTGGGTTAACCCATTGTGGTGGGTTGAGTGTCCTTAGAAGGAGATCTTCACAGTTAATTCTCCAACTTCTCTGCTGAAAACCTGTTGAGATGGGCAGTAATAAACCTTCCTCTCCAAACCTTGTCCAGGCTGCTTGAGATCCTATGAACTCTAAAGTGTATCCAATATGAGTGGCATTTGTGGGTCACTGAGGTAGATGTTGAGGATGTTGAAGGTCCAGAGGTCAAAGTACCTCCTTTGTCCCTTCTTGAGTCTGAAGTTTCACATGAGGACATGGCATATTGTAAGACTCCCTCTTAGATATGTAACTCATAATGCATCAACTAGAGTAATGTGGGGATATGTGGATGTGTGTATACATGTGCACATGTGTGTAAAAGAAGCCAATAGGAAAGAGAATCATAAAAGTGCAGGAAGTCCTATGTATTCTCCTTGCCTTGATGTACCACCCAAATGAATTAGAGGAATTCCAGGCCATGTATCTAGGTCAAGAGGAATGAAAATACTGTCACATGAGAAATGGAGCTAGTGATGTGTGGTAGTTAATAAAACCAGGGTCAATGTATATAAAATGGCCACAAATTAGGAGATACTCAACACTGAGGGTCTTATTAATCAATTATCAAGAAATAAATGTTGTAACAAAATGGTCCAACAAAGGACCAGATTGTTTTATGAAAAAAATTTAGAAAATTATTTTTGAATACTAAGTGACAGGTGTTATGCAAAACATGGTGCATGTGTTAGCTTATTCAATCCTCTCAAAATCCCAGTGAGGTAAGAACTGTTATTCTCTTCACACTAAGGATGGGAAACAGAGTGTTGCTTACTTTTTCAAGGTCACACAGTTAGTAAATGGAGGAATAGGGATTTGATCCTGTAACCTGTTTACTAACCTGGTGAAATGCTTACTGCCACTCCTGGGTGATTTTAACGTATAGTCTGGGCCTGTCAGAGATTTTGTTGACTTCAAGACATTTGTAGCTCAAATACTTTCTAAAATTGTACATCACATTTCTGCTTATATTGGTGATTGAAACATTGACTTGATCCCCCCACTGGGTCTTTCTGTCACTTTCCTATTTTAACAGGAATGTGGAAAAGTACAGAAGTCCAGAGACAGCCAGTAAAAATGAAAGGATAGATGAATACTTGGACCTAGGAGAAAAATCAAAGTAGGTTACATTCCTCTAGCTAGAGATTGACTGGGTGATCTTTATAACACAAAGCTTTAAGGGTGTAAGTCATTTCCACAGAGAACATCACAAGAAATCCATCTCAGTGAGAAAGCTTGGCTAAGACAAAGTCTTTCCAGTGAAAAATGTCTTGAAATAAACAATCTCTTTGAAGCACTGGTTTGAATAGAACCAGGGTCATGTTAGAATAGAAGTCAATGCCTTCAGTCACAGCCTGTCACAAATGCCTCTGGGGTGGCTTTGTGGAGTAGGTCTGCCCTGAGGAGATGTCAGAATGTGAGCAAGTGTTTGCGAACTTTGTTCTTTTTCATCTCCATCCCAGTAAAGCAGCAGCAGATCCTGAGGATGAAGTCTGAGCCATTTTCATTGGGGGGACATGTTAGACTAGATTTGACAACAGTGTTGGTGCTGCTGTTGGTGGTGCAGTGGTAGGTATGAGGGGAAGGTTCTTTAGTAGTCAGCCACCAGGTATAGCAATAAATAACTTGGTGTGATCTTTTACCAAAGTTTACACATTTTGCTTTCAGCCATTGAAGTAAGCCCAGGGGACTCTCCATTAACAAGATAACCTTGAGAAAAAAATAAACATTTCTGTTCAACCAAGCTTTAATGTATCAATTTGAGGAGCAAGAAGTCAGTTTTATCTTTAAGACACACATACACACAAACCAAATGACCTTACAACTAGGGATTTTTAAAAAAAAACATGTTGAAGGTCTTTTATTCTCCTTCACAGAAATTTTATCATAACTTCATGCTCCCATACTTCATGGCTTGTTACTTGCTCCATTACTCTTAACACTTAACTTGATAAGGCTCTGGTTCCTGTGATATTAGTTTTTGGGTTTGGCATCTCACAGCTGCTGCTTTGAAGGGCCTGATAACACGCTTAGCCTTGTATGGAGCCAGTGGCTTTTCAAGTTTTCATTCAATTGTGCTCTATGCCTTGACATTCTTCTTTCTCACTGCATGGGTATAATCTAACATTGCTCTTTTTTTCCTCTGCTTTGTAAAGAGGGTTAACCTTGGGCTTTGGCAGGTAGCTGATCATTTTATCCATGGAACTGCATAAAAATGTATTTAGGAAATAATCACTTTTCTTATTGAGCGTGCCAAAGTCTGATCTCTGTTTTGGATATTCAGGGTTTTCAGTGGCTGACTGGTAACGAGGGATCTCGCATGCATTCTATAAACAGGGCTAAAGCTGGTTTTACAGATGCACACCCACAAAAGAAATCTTCCTAGGGTGACACCCAGAGGCTAGCAGGCATGTTCTGTATCTAGAGGAAACTCCACTTAAAGCTTCCATGTTGGACAGGACACAACTTGGGAAGATTAGGAAAAGCCAATCATGTAACTGGGTGATTTAACTGAATTCATGCTAAAATTGAGTGTGTGTGTAAGTGGGGGGGACTCTTCTCAAAACTCTTTCTCTTGGGTTGCTGATGTGGGATTGTAAACACATAAAGAGTTGGTGGAAGTTGTTTATGGCTAGTTAGGCTGGTGAGATCTCAAGGCCTGTATTATTTTCATTAGAAGTTAATTTAGGGGGGAAAATAATCAGGCCCTGTTTCCTCCACTCAGGGAAAAAAAAAACACTACTTCTGTGATTTTCTGTGATTTTTTGCAAATCATTTCCCACTACATCTAATAGGAAGGTTAGAATTTAACAGGTGAGCAAAGTGCTAAAACATGCTTGCGAGTAGGACTAAAATTTCAGCGCCTCATACAGAACGGAACCACTGGAAGGAGTAGTACAATCACAATTGCTTGTGAGAGTAAGGAATGGCCAGATCATCGTGCATAGAATATAGTGGAAAGCAGCAAAGTTACTCACAGGTATTTGCAGTGCCTTTGGGGATTGGGAGATAGGAGCCTGGACTCCAAGGCCGGCCCTGATAATTCTTCTTGCATTTCCCACAGTCTGGACCTGTAGTGTTGTGCTCACATTCACATGTCAGTTTGCTGTTGTCATATACACACACAGTGGCATGGAGATTACACTTGCACCTAAGCAGAGGAAAGACAAAGAGATCACTGTCACTTACGTTGATCTTAATGGTCTAGCTCAGGGGGTTGTAGCTCTTAAATAGAGTCATGCTTTGGTAATTATCACACAGAGGGATTTAGTAAAATGTTGATTTCCAGACTCAGCCCTGAGGATCTTTTTCAAGAAGTATCTTTTGAGGATAGGGGATTGCTATGGTCCTTTTCTTTCCCTACTAACGAATCCAGGGCAACGAAGTGTTTAAGGTAGACAGAGCAGGTTTACCTGAAAGCATAAGATCAGGGAAATGAATCCCTTGTGCAAGGAGGGGGTCCCAGAATTGGGTATCCATAGGCTGCTAGTTATAGGGTCTTCTGTTCTCTTTCCTCGAAGGGCATGCCCTGGTCCAAATGGTTGGAGTCTTGAGTATACACTGCAGGAAGTCTTGTTAATGGTTTCCCTGGTTTGGAGTACCAGCACTGAAGTTGTCCTGATTGGTTCTCTCACCTCTGTGCTTGAGCATGGGGAAAAACTCCTGATTGGATAGAGGCTAGGGGAATACACGCCCTGCCACAGCCCCCCACCCCCAAATGCACGTATGCGCTGCGGCCTGAATGCTGAGGCCTTTCTCCCTGCCATATTGAAGCCAGGTCTAGCTTCCACAATACACTTGGAGGGAGCTTGATACCAGTCAGCTCATGGGAAGCCTGAAGCCCTTTTCAGAGAGTTGTGCGCCTACAGGCAACCTAAACACTATTACCAGTTGAGTGGTGTTCTTCAGTGACTTTGTCAAATCTACAATAATGTGATTTCATTTTATAAAGAGCAATGCTGTTTTTTTTTCTTTACCCTCCTTCAAATCATTAGGACAATTCTTATTTTGTTTTCCTTTTTCCTTTTTCTTTTCTTTCTTTCCTTTTCTTTTTTTTTTTTTTAACAAAGAAAGATAACTATTAAAACAATTTGCTGTTCAGTCTTACTCTATAAACCTGGCAAGTTATACTCGGATGTTCTCTTTTTGGGCTCTAGAGTGACATTTCCTCAGGTCAGGAAAGTGTTTTTTATCAAAACTTACAACTGACCCAAGCAGAGGTGAGGCAGTAATCTTCTGACTTCCCACTCCCGACAAAGAAGGCAATCACAAAGGCCAAATGACTCTAATAAAAGATGCTTAGAATCCTAGCAAATAAGAATCCTGTGGGTGGCAGGGACTTGAAGTCATTAGCAGAGGCTTTGCCTTTGCTGTCTGTGAATAAAGCTGTTATGATATATGAGAGGCAACAGTGGAATATGCAATTTCCACAAAAATGCATTCCTGTATTCCAAGTCTTTGCTGGCAAAATTGCAAAGGCCAACTTGATATTTGTTGAGGCAGTGGGTTATAAATTATATCATACCAAGTTTATCCCACTCCTCTGGAAAGGTAAAACCTAAGATGACGGAATGACCAGAGCCAGAGGTCAGAGTACCACAAGGAGGAAGACATAATGCCCATGCAAGGGAAATCTAAGCACCCAGGCCAGGGCAGACAGGGCAAAAATATGTTAGAGTCGAAACCTGAAATTGCCTCTGTGTGTGTGTGTGTGTGTGTGTGTGTGTATGTATTTGTGTGTTGGAGCAGGAGGGGATGAGTTTGCTTTCTTCCAATGACTAGGGAAAAAATATAGAAACCCAAGTTTCATAAATAAACAAAGAAATATTTGTGCTGTTTTTATGTTTTTGTTTTTTCTTTAGGGGTGGATGTCATGAGTTGGGAAAAGTAACAGAACACTTTCTCAGGTAGGAAAATGAAATAAGTTTAATTGCTGATACTCCATGGCAGTATAGCAATGGCCAAGTTCTTCTTATACAACTGGAATGCTGACAAGGAGAAACATGAATGACTGAGACTGTAGCTGAGAGCTGCTGGACTCACTTTAATGAGGAGGTGGTGTAGCTCAGCTCCTTATGGGTCCACTACACTTTTAATACTTCTAGTTACACTCTGCCTTCTGTGTATTTGTGAATTATAATAAGCTAGAGAGCTACCATTAAAACAATACCTATTTAACTTAGACACATAAATAGCACCGTGGTAAATTAACATTTCACAATCTTTTAAAAGGCATGAGAAGAAAAAAAATAATGCAGTTAAATAAACAGTGTTTAATTATGAGGCAGGTCTTTTAAACAGACAGTTACTTGTGCTAGTTGGTTTATTAAAAGAGCTTCCTTCTTCCAAGCATTAGCACCTTTATTTATGGGTGTTTTTATATATGTATGGAGGATGTTTGAAGGCTAAGTGATAGAAGCAGCAGTTTCTATTGATTTAGCACCCTCTCTGGTGTTGAAACTTCCAAATGAGGAAATGAACAATATGACCCCGAAGAATATTCTGGTTTCTGGTGTGAAGACCACGGATGCAAGCAATTAATTGCAAAATGGATTATATATCTTGTAACTGTTAACACTTTCATACTTGTAGTCACCCTTGGAGTTACAAGCAATTTCCATCCATCAGATAATACAAGCAATTGTATTATCTGAGAAAATGACTCTCTGAATAACAAAAGGAGGGGAAAAGAGAACAGTGGAATTATTTAGTATTGCTTTTCTCAGATAACTTCCAATGAATGGTTCCTTTTTCACCTGTTCATTCAAGTCTAAATTCAATCATGACAACCCTTCCTTAAAATCTACCTAGATCCTGAGCTTTGCTTTTCTTGTTTATTTAATTACTTCTGTGTGTCTGGTTTTGTTCATTGATGCTTATGGGTCTTTGTGCTTTAAAATTTTAAATTCTGTCTGTGACTATCTTCTTGTTTTCCACTTTACATGGTCTTCTACTATAAAAGAAATTCAAACATGTAAAGAGATCCAGAGGTTCGGTTACTTATAAAAATCCATAAAATCTGCTCTTTCCATGATTACTAGGTAAAAAATATCTGATGAATGTATTCCTAAGGCCTGTGTCTGTATCTCTATTATAGATCTCTTTCTTGGACTTCTGATTTATCTATCAAAATGCCTCCTGTAAAATCCAGTTCCATATTCCCAAAATGGAACTTGTTTATTTTTCCCCTTCCAGCTTCTACTTTTGTGCTTTCTGGCTCAGGGAGTTTTCAGTAAATTGTGTCACCTTCTACTTAGTTTGCCACAAATGACTCTTTCCTCTCCCTTTCTACCCTATCACTCCTCTATTGCTCATGAAGTGTTCAGAGCTCCATTCCTTGGTTATCTCTGAAATTCATACAGTTTGAGCGATGATTATTGCCTTAATAGTTCAAGAGTTTCCAAACAAAATTTAGTGTTCCTATCACATTCCTTTTCAACACAGTTGGCCTAAACCACCATTTGCACAAGATTTTCTATTTCTCTGTTAGAGTCCAAGTGTGGTGGTATGTTTTATAAATCCCTTTATGTTACCTCTTGTCCCTTCTCCTGGTGACTTGTATAAATCCTAGCTCTACTGTTACTTCTTCAGACTTTGCTTTCAGCTAATCTTTGTTTTTAATTTTTTAAAAAATTTTTTTGTTTGTGGGGCTTGAATTCGGGGTCTGGGCGCTGTCCCTCAGCTCTTTAGCTCAAGGCGAGCACTCAACCACCTGAGCCACGGAGCCACTTCCTCAGCTAATCTTATATGTTAATTCTTCTGCCTCCAGCATTTCACTCACTTTTGCTGTTTTTTTGTTTGTTTTTCATCTGGATAGTTCCTTCTTTTGTATTATAACTTGGCCATTTCCATGCCTGACTCTCTCTCTCTCTCTCTCTCTCTCTCTCTCTCTCTCTCTCTCTCTCTCTCTCTCGTAATCTGATGGTTAGCTACCTGAACGCTTTTCTCACTCTCTAAGATACTTGGAAAGGCTTTTGGCTTAATGCAGCCACTGGCACTTCTGCTACCGATACAGGCTGTGTTTTGTTATTCTCTTGTCATCCTCACTGGCTCATCAGCTGCTAGGAGGCGGCCATTATGTCTACCTTATTTATTAGAACACCTCAGCATATGTCAAGGTGCTTGACGCATAGTAGGTTCTCCAAACACATCTGATGAGCAAACCAATGAATAACAAACATGTAAACTCCCTGAAGATAGGACTCCTGTGCATATTATATTATATCTGGTATTTCAATGGACTAATATTGAGAGTTAATAGGTATTGTACTAAATCAAGCCCTCTGTGATGGATGCTGAAACTTCTACATGCTATAGGTATGTTTTTTCTACCCTCCTATTGGGCAAAGGGCATTCTATAAAATTTGTGAGATCTTGTCAACCCAATTTAATTTAATTTTTATACTCCAGAGAACTTTGCATATAACTGGGAATTTACCAGGTCTATCTCAAGATAAGTCTGAAAGGTCCAGGCAATGAATATAGCTCAAGGGACAGGAGGGGGAAACCAGAACAATTGTGTGGCATAGTGACTCTGCAAAGTGCATTTTTCAGCTTCAACTCCTCATGCAAAGTGGACCACCCTATCTAGCTGCTAAAACTCTGACTTCCCAAGCAGTAAAATCTGTTACTGTAGAACTGCCTGGGAGCTCACTTTCCTCATTCGTTTCGACAGTGCTGTGTTTGGGCCAAGCACTAGGAGTGAATGCTGATATCCCATTATTTGGAATTAGTTCACTTTCATTTTCCACAGGTTGGTTTATTCTCATCACTCCCATTTCAGTCAGAAGCTAAAATCCTTTATTTAGAGCCCTTGTCAAAGTGGCTTTTCTTCCAGTAAAAGAGAATAGATTTCACAGGGATGGGAAATTGCTCTCAATTCCTGGGGTTGTGACCTCCAGCCTTGTGATGGGTGCAGGGTAGAGTTCTGTGACATCCCACTTGTCTCTGACAGATTCATTATCCATCCCCATAACCTTCAAGTCCTCATGTCTATTGCCATAGTAGCTAGGGGAGGAACTGCACCAGTGGAGACCAAAAAGGTTTTTGTGAAAGTCAAATATCTGGATGGGGCTAATGCCTCATACTTTTAGTCCTAGCTACTCAGAAGGCTGAGATCTGAAGATCACAATACAAAGCCAACCATGGAAA